GGGGGGGGGGGGGGGGGGGGGGGTTGAGCCTGAGGATTTACGGGCGCTTGACTAGTGTTGTCGCCACGACTGTGCAGGTGAGGATTTATTTTGCTCCCGACAGAAAAAAGATCCCCAGCCCTACCGAGGATTCGAACTCAGGTCTCCCACATGGCAGCCAAGCGTTCTAACCGTTCGGCCAACCGCTGTATGTGCTACACTTTACTGTTTGTTATACATAATTTGTAGAGCTTGAAAGTGGAGAATCGAAAATTCATCGAAATAGCAACATTTTATCTCGGCGGATAAGCATGTTTAAGAAACGCAGGACGCTCATGCGGAGACCCCGGTTCGAATCCTCTGTAAGGTTGAGGATTTGCTCTGTCACGAAAAAAAAATAATCTTAAACCTGCATGGTTAGTGTTCACAGCACTAGCCCCATCGGTCTTAAATCTTCAGGCTCAAATGCAGTATCTGTCATGGGACTCAGGGTCGCCGGAACCAGGGGTCTTAGACACCCTGGTACCCACCACCACCCCCCCCCCCCCCAATTATTTTTCAGATGGCCTGCCCCTACCCCTAAACGTTTAAGAAAGCTAATTTCCCCCCCCCCCCACCCCCAACAATGTAAGTACTATTTGTAAGGTTCTTATTAAAACAAATGCGATTATGCCAAATATATTATTATATTTGTCACTGAACATATTATTTATTATTGCTAAGCACTTAAACAAGACTTAGACCCAAATATAACTTTGCTATGTGGCTATAGGGTTGAAAGGGGTTTTCACAATTTGTAGCTGATTTTGATCACTGAGATGTTAATCATACGGAATGCAAATCTGGAGTGGTAAAAAAAAACTTTTTACCTTATCAGGCCACTGTAGTGCCTTAATTATAGCTTCCTGGAAACCTAAACAGAGCATATGTGTTTTGCCCTGTTGAACTGAGGTAGCGACCCATCTATCTCTCGGGGTGTCTATTTTCAGATAGACGCCTAGAGGGGGGAATCAGTTGGTCAGTGACCCAGGCAGTCAGAAGGTAACGTGAGTAGTGTTAACTTATGTATGGGTAATTTGTACCTTTCACATTTGTCACCGCCCGTGTGTCACCGGGGCCCTCGCGAGAAGCAAAGAATACTAACACTGCCCCTACCAGGCATGTCGAAGAGGCGACTAGGGGTAGGGTTGGGCTTGGGGTTGGCTACCTAATCATGTAACAACAATAGCAACAAAAACCAACCAACCATGAACAAGTCAACAGAGGGGAAACAAGAAAAAGCCAACCAAAATGAGAAACGGCTTTTCTAGTATGAGTGCCAATCAATAAACTGTCTGTTTGTTTATTATATACATAATGTTTCTACAGCCTCAAAGGTTTCCCCCTCTATTTGTGTCTACTAGAAGTAGTTTGACACAGTGCAGAGAAGGCCAACAGGAGTCCGGATCGTCGATATACCCCCTTTCACGTAGGAAAATCTTCAGAACTGGCACCTGCAATGTTAGAACTTTATACGTTTTGGAAAGAATAGTAAAAGTATTAAGAGAAATGAAACACTAAATGATTAGTATTTTAGGATTATGTGAAACCAGATGAAGCGGGCGGAAAACGTATTTTAAATTCAGGGGAAACCATTTTGTTCTCAGGACATACAGAGAAAATTTCTCCCCCACAGTGAAAGAGTGACCCTGATGCTATCTAAAGAAGCAGAGAGGGCAGGGCACTAATAGATTGGGAAACATCGGGAAACATCTTCTGCGTTGGAAGTCGTTTGAAATGAGTTGCACTCTCTGAAACTAATACTTCATCGTTAATTTATAAAAGATTTTCTTCCACTCAGTCCAGGGATACTATTCCCTCATCCGTAACGTGGTTTGCCCTTTGTATGCATTAGCAATGAAATAAAATCTAGACACATCAGTCATTATCGTTGTGGTACACTTGGTTAGGGGGCGAAATTTAACGTGGTGTTTACTTCCTGACGGATAGCTTGCGGTCGTAGAAAATCAGACTGATTTCTTCCTAGTGTGGGATCCGGAGCCATTTGGGAAAGGGGAGGGGGGAAGGATAGATGGGACTCTATTCATGTCACGTACGTACATACATACGTGCGTACATACAAACATACATAATTGACAGTGTATTTATCGTTGTTTAAACCTATTGTGGGATCTGGGGCCATTTCGGGAGGGGGTGGGGAGAGAATAGATGGTACGCTATACATGTCCAGAAGGAAATAACTACAAATGTGAACTGAGAGATGCAGTACCGAAAACGAGCTCGCTACCTTCCGAGCTTGGTGTAAACGAAGTGATCCTTTCGCCAAGGAAACCCATCAAAAATAAATGTCACAAGACTCGGTCTAATGAATGCAAATAATCTACTGCCAGCTTAGTTCCTTTATTTTCTTTGTGAAATCTTCTTCTTTTCCTCCTCTCGCTGCCAGTAATTGTCGGGTGAGAAGGCCACACTCCTCTATGATGATGGCTGTGGCGCGACACATGTCCTCCGCTGATCCATGCAGCCTGACTTCCGTTGGAAGAACAACGGGTCAGACCTGTGATCACTGCACTTCTTCTCTTCCACCTTGTACCTCGATGGAGTGTCGGGGTGAGATCTAACATTCTTTGATGAGCTCTGTCGAGAGCACTATTAGGAGTGATGTTCATTTCTGAAAGGCTGTTCTTAATGTATCACTCCATCTTTGACTGATCGTTGTTTAAACACGCGTCGCCTTGTTCATACGTGATTAGGTATCACCGATTAGCCATGGAACTGCAGCTGACCGTATTGTACTACCACAACAAAAGACTCTCTAAGGCAGCGTTTCTCAAACCCTTTCGTCGCGGCACCCTTGTCGGGTATCAACAACCAAATTCGCGGCACCCTTGTCGGGCAACAACAACCAAATTCGCGGCACCCTTGTCGGGCAACAACAACCAAATTCGCGGCACCCTTGTCGGGCAACAACACACAAATTCGCGGCACCCTTGTAGGGCAACAACAATAAAATTCGCGGCACACATGACATTAAAGCGGTTTGACTACTGAGGAAAAGAAGAACAAACAGTGTACATTTAATGTTCAATTGTCTTTAATGCCATGAACGAAGCAGTTTGAATGCATTTTTCTTTATTTCCTTTATTTTTATGGGAAGTGTAGCTAACTGTAAGCTCAAATTTCTCTCTCTCTCTCTCTCTCTTTCTTTCTCTCTCTCTCTCTCTCTCTCTCTCTCTCTCTCTCTCTCTCTCTCTCTCTCTCTCTCTCTCTCTCCCTGCACTTTGCCAATCCGCGGTTTAAGTTAATCTAACAAATGAATTCAATATGCTACATTTCTGTCTCTCCTCATAATTTGGTTAACCGATGTTGCCCGATTTCTTCTAAAGTCTCGGCCTCCTTGAAACATTTCAACTGCACATCTTAGAAGTCTAAATTCATCAGTTTTATGAAACATTTGGCGAAACGCTACTTGCGTGAACGGCTAATACTGTCTTCTCCAAGAGAAATCATTAGACGTTCCTGTGTCTAATTTACTGTCAGTTAAATGCTCTAGCTTCGGATTCCAATTCCTCCCAATATCTCAATTTTGTCTATGGCCTTCACTCCTTGGCACTGAAACTGTAGGATGTCATTATATTATAGCTATTTGGCTTTCACATAACGACGATTCTTAACTCTAGAACCAGGCAATGAGACAATGTTCAGAAAGAAGCAAGAATAAATAGGAAAGTGTTTGTTGTAATCGTGATAAATTATTTCTTTCAGATGCCGGCAGCGGGAGACAGGCTTCGTGTGAGCGTGGTCTGTGGTGATTGGACAGCTTCAAGCCGGCGACTGGGTGGTCGTTAATTGGTCTATGGCTTTATATTCACTTTGGATCTTCTGTTAAATGACTGCAGTATAAATGAGCATGGAAGACAACGGAGACAGAGAGTCTTGTGATAACAGCATCAAAGTAGGCATCTCCTTAGAAACTAAAAATGAAAAGACATTTTTAATGCCAATCGTGGAGTTAATACTTTCGTCGACTTTTAAGTAAAGAGATTGTAACTATTTGGTTTTTATGTTAAAAGACGTAGGATGGAACAATACTGAATATGTCTTCTGTTAAATGTCCTCTGGATATATCAGCCTGCAAGATAACAAACGATCTGGCGATTGTAACGTCCAAGGATGCTTCTCAGTAAATGGACCTCATGTTATATTTCGACAACGCTTACAATACATAATGGACAAGCGCTTATAAACGTGTCAGATGTACGATGAGTCTGATCGGTCGATTAACTACGATGAGCATGATCGGTCGGTTAACTACGATTAGTCTGATCGGTCGATTAACTACGATGAGCATGATCGGTCGGTTAACTACGATGAGTCTGATCGGTCGATTAACTACGATGAGCTTGATAGGTCGGTTAACTACGATGAGCATGATAGGTCGATTAACTACGATGAGCTTGATAGGTCGGTTTACTACGATGAGCATGATAGGTCGATTAACTACGATGAGCATGATAGGTCGGTTAACTACGATGAGCATGATGGGTCGATTAACTACGATGAGCATGATAGGTCGGTTAACTACGATGAGCATGATCAGTCGTTTAACTACGATGAGCATGATAGGTCGGTTAACTAACTAATTAACTAATATAGTTAAATATTATACAGGAAAAAAGTCCACTAATGGAGAAATGAATTTCAATGACTGAATATTAAATCAAAAACATAAACAATAATAAGTATGTACTGTTAAGCAGTTGACATCTATGGCTTAGGAGTTATGAAAACAGTTTCATAACACTGGGGTATTTATTTATAAATAAGCTCTTAGCTAAAGATGACTTGGCATCAGACCGCTTAGCGCTGAATCTAACAATGGTATAAGCGTCTAAACGTTAACAAAGCAATGACAAACTACTGAATGCAAATCTGCCGGTGAAGCCACAAACAATCAGCAAATGGTGGAGTTGGTTTGCCACAATCTGTGCAGAATATGTAACTATCTGTAAAGTAAGGGCATGGGCCGGGCCCTTACTCTGCAAGACTTAGGAATGAACACCAGTGAATACGTCTGCCGGACCAACACCAGTGGGCTGTGGCAGATGACCACACCATTGTGTTCTACAAGGTTTTACACATTAGAGATGTTAATTTTGGTGGCAACACTCTTATCGATAATCACGCTGTGGACTATCTGTGGAAACACCTTAGTCCTGTTGGCGTTATTTCGATACAAGACTCTGCGCACCATGTCCAACTGTCTGATTGGGAATCTGGCAATAAGTGATCTCCTCCTGGCACTTACAGTGATGCCTCTGTCTACTGGTCACGATCTCCTCGGATACTGGGTTTTTGGGCAGACCACTTGCACTTTATGGCTGTGCATAGACGTTCTCTACTGCACTGCATCAGTGTGGGGCTTGTGTACTGTAGCATTTGATCGTTATCTGGCCACGGTGTATCCGGTATGGTATCATGATCAACGGTCGGTGAACAAAGCCATGGCATGTATTGTATTTGTATGGATATTTTCTATTATAATTTCTATTGCTCCATTTATCGGATGGCAACACACAATTTCAAATTTTTTCACGTTTAACCCCCAAATTAGAAGGTACGAATGCATTCTATTTACTTCAAGCAGCTACGTATTATATTCAGCGATTGGCTCTTTTGTCTTTCCAGCGATCCTAATGACTTTCTTATACATACGAATCTTCATCGTATTACATAATCAATCCAAAGGGTTGAAAACTATAACGCTGACATCCAATTCTTTAACGAAAGCTGACATAAGAACTCCGATAATCTGTGTGTCAGACGATGATCAAGTAAACGGCCTAACAATGGACTCTACTACAACAACGCTCTTATCCAACGCTGTGGAAAGCCCTGGTAACTCGGATGACATTGAAGAAACAGGAGAAAAAGCAGAGACAGAATTCATGCTCTTGATCAATGGTAACAAATCCTTAGACAGTTCTGCTTCACGAATGCGTACACTGGAAGGGTGTAGAGAGCATGCAGTTACGCCAAGATTTAAGCTAGCAGCTCTTCCACCTGGAAAGAGAAGCAACAGTTTTGCGATGCCAAGTGGCGCGAAGCCTAGCAAGTCAGCAGAAGCCAGTATGTTGAATATAATCGATTTCGAACGGCAAAACAGCCACAATGTGGCCATACAGAGAAGCACATCGGACACCGAGTGTCTGAATTCAAACACACAAGAATACAAGCTTTCAAACGCCTGCAACCGGAGCAAAAGTGCCAGCGCACTGTCCTCTGGAGAAGAGGATGACAAGTTCCTCACTCCGCCCATACAACGCAGGTCACTTCCCTGCACAATGAGCATTTTTCGTCGCAACAGTAAAATGACAACGAGTATGAAAAGGAGGTTCGAGTTACGCGAGCAGAGAGCTACAAAACGTATGTTGTTGATTATGGCGTGTTTCTGTGTGTGCTGGATGCCATTTCTCTTCATGTATGTTCTGAGAAGCGTGTGTTGTACGTGCATCATGAATAAACATGTCATTGCAGCAATTATATGGTTGGGCTATGCAAACTCCAGCCTAAATCCTATCCTGTACACTTTGTTTAATGACGATTTTAGAAACGCCTTCAAAAAACTGTTGGGGTACAAGTCAGCAGTAGCCAAACATGGGGTTAGACAATGATGCCTTGCATCCGCTTTTTTATTCGGACTTCCAAGTCAGAACTTCACTCTCAGACTCTAAAATTGTGCTTTCCAATGCATTTCATTGATGAATATATAGGGATGAGTGCAATGCAGGGATAACTTTGTTCTTATTTACTTGCGTTATAACTGCAGTGAAGCAACAACAGCAGCAAATGTTGTGAGGATACCACGCAGACACGTCGGACCAATGGAGTGGCAGTCATAAACAATGAGCAAAGAGGGAAGTTTTATTACATATAATTTTTAATTTTTTTTTATGTTTTGAAGTTTTATTACATTAATGGAAGTAAATGCAGATGACAGCACACATGAGTAAATTTTAATGAATTGGTTAAACATATGCAAGGAAGTATCCATCATCATGCTGTATGCTCAGAAGTTTGGACAATCAAGACTAATCAAGCCATAGCGTCATTACAGAACTGGATCAGGTCTTTCTTTTACCCAATTATATTATGTTGTCAAGTCATTCAATTATTTATCTACGTGACTTTCTATTAGCTCTGTTCCCATCAAGTCTGACAGTATTCAAGCTTATTTTGCTTCATTACATAACCTAAAAATCTCGATACGATACATCTCATTTCTATAATCAACTTTAATTGTCATCGGCTTCTTGAAAGACAATTACAGTCAGTTTTTTTTTTTTTTTTTTTTTTTGGGTGCAATATATTATTTACACTTCTCTCGAATTACATTTCAGCTACCAACTGATTCACATGTACACACACACACACACACAAAAGCACAAACAACAGACTGCACAATTTTCCCCTTCTTTCCTAAAATGTCTTTCTTTCTTCCTACAGTCCACACCGTGTGGCGTTGGTTGTCATATCTATCCAAAACCTTCTGCCTTGTCTACTTTCAATCAGTCCTGACAAAGATGATCTTCTATGCTATGATGTCAAACCATACAACATTCTCTCTCTCTCTCTCTCTCTCTCTCTCTCTCTCTCTCTCTCTCTCTCTCTCTCTCTCTCTCTCTCTCTCTCTCTCTCTCTCTCTTTCTCTCTCTCTCTATATATATATCTCTCTCTTTCTTCATCTGCCTCTTTTCTACTCCAACTTACCACAGTCACGATGTACTCCAGTTTTCTCCTTTTCATGATATGACCAAGGAACGTAGCATGTCTCGTTCTGATGTGGGCAATCAGTTCTCTTCGTGAGTTAGTTTCTGTCAAGACATCTACATAAACACTTTTTATCTGCCTAGGGTATTCTCATCGTTCGTCTATAAAACCTCATCTCTGTCGCTTCCAAATAATTGTTCACTAATCGTCCAACCGTCCATGATTCATTTCCGTATATCCGTATACTGTTTCTTTTGTTTCACATAATAAAGATAACATGTTTTACGCATAAAATCAACTGCTGCGTTAAAAAGTGTTTGGAAGGGCCGAATGTTAGACGTTCCTGCAAGACCAATTCGTTACCCTCTGAAAAATAAAGCTTATACGTTCCTATTTACACAATAAAGCCCCCCCCCCCCCCCCCCCAATCTAGTTTTCTTTATTATTTACTGTGGATTAGGGGTTGAAAACGCGGTTTTGTAATTCCAAGATACCCGGTTCAATTCCAGTTGCGGCAGCAGACCGCCTTAAGTTGACTTCGACAATTGTATCGAGAGCTGACCATTCCTAAACGATGCAAACTACTGAACGTAAACACGCCAGCTAACCAAGATGAGGGAAAGTTTTTCTAGTAGAATAAGTATGATGCTGTTCGGAAAATGCCGAAAGGAGTTCAGATAGTAGACATGACTCCTGTCAACTAGAGCAGCGGTTATCAATCTGTGGGTCGTGACCCTTTATTGGGTCGAAGGACCCTTTCACAGAGGTCGTCAAAGACCATTGGAAAGCACATATTCTTTGAGGTTATAAAGTAGTCACGAAAATAACTGTATGTTTGGGGTCGCCACAACATAAGGTACTGTATCAAAGGGTCGCCACAACATGAGGAACTGTATCAAAAGGTCGTCAGAACATGAGGAACTGTATCAAAGGGTCGCCACAACATGAGGAACTGTATCAAAGGGTCGTCACAACATGAGGAGCTGTATCAAAGGGTCGCCACAACATGAGGAACTGTATCAAAGGGTCGCCACAACATGAGGAACTGTAAAAAAGGGTCGCCACAACATAAGGAACTTTATCAAATTGTCGCCACAACATGAGGAACTGTATCAAAGGGTCGCCAGAACATAAGGAACTGTATCAAAGGGTCGCCACAACATGAGGAACTGTATCAAAGGGTCGCCACAACATGAAGAAATGTAAGAAAGGGTCGCCACAACATGAGGAACTGTATCAAAGGGTCGTCACAACATGAGGAACTGTAAGAAAGGGTAGTCATAACATGAGGAACTGTAAGAAAGGGTCGCCACGACATGAGGAACTGTATCAAAGGGTGGTCACAACATGAGGAACTGTAAGAAAGGGTCACGGCATTAGGAAGGCTGAGAGCCAGTGACCTAGAGCAATATCTAGAATTGGCACCTGGAATTTTATAACTTTGTACGTTGTTGGAAGAACAGTGGAAGTATTAGGGATAATTCTTCTTCTTCTTCTTCTTTGTCACCGGCTGTAAGCTTCGGCGAAAAGTCCTGGTTGTACGTCCATTTAGTCTCTAGGTTTTGTCAATGCCTGAGTTTTGTGTTTTCATCCATTTTACCGGCTTATTTGCGTGCAGTAAATTGTTCCTTGTGACTCAGGCAGATACACCCCCACTTCGAAGGAAGTCCCCAATTAGTCGACTCCTATGACATGCTTGTTGGGGAGGCAGTGGGTCTATTTTTGTTTTCCCTACAAGAGGGCCCCGCAACTCACAGGGTAATGAAACATTATAGGATTAGTATTTTAGGAATATGTGAAACTAGATGGATAAAGGCGGGGGAAAGTATTCTAAATTCAAAAGAAACTATTTTCTTCCCAGAACCCACAGGGGAAAATTCTACCCACATTGAAGGAGTGGCCCTGATAGTATCGAAAGAAGCAGACAGGACACTAACAGACTGGGAAGTTGTGAGTCCGGGAATAATAAGAGCATCATTTAGAACAGCGAAACAGAAAGTGAACATGTCATAATGCAGTGTTGTGCACCAACAAATGATAAGGATGCATCAGTTAAGTAGGAATTTAACATGCAACTTCAAAATATTATAAATAATGGAAGAAGGGCAATATAAACATTTGTATGGGTGACCTGAATGCTTAGATTTTGAATTTAGAATGAATCTTGTATAGAAGTCCTGGGTGAGAAAAAACGGAAAGCGCGGTTCCCATTAGAATTCATTAAAATTATCGAAAAAAAGGAAAAGTGAAAAGGCAGATTTAAACAAAAGCAAAACTGGAGCGGCTAAATCTGGAACTCATTAAAATTACACAGAAGCTAATAAGGAAGTTAGGAGGGGAATAAGGGCTGTTAAAAGGAAACATTTAAATGACCTAGTACAAGAAGCAGAGACAGCAGCCGCAAAAGGAAACCTCAGAGGCCTTTATGGTTATTAAAAAAACGCCATCAGGCGTATAGGGCATATAGGGCTAGATCTATATTTTTTTAGACCAATCGGCACAAGAAGGGTGATGTGGTCAGCACTACGCCGGCCGCCTATAATTTCCACAACATGAGGAACTGTATCATAATCACTCAAGGCTGGGTCGATCTGGAAGCCAAGGTCATATTTTAAAATAGTCCGGCTCCTCCAGGGAGCGAACCTACAACCTTCCGATCCGCGACGAGCGTCTAGCCGCTCGGCCACGGCGACTCCCGGCCTTTACAGTAACACAATAAAATGAGTAAGTACAACCAGTCAGCCAACTGGATCAATCAGAAATATTCAAGGAAAGGTACTCATCAACACAATGGATCAAATGGACAGATGGGCTGAATATTTTGAAATACTTCTGAAAATACCAGCACCAGTGGTTCCTCCAGATATATATCTAAAGAGGAAATTAGAAAAGCTATAAATCTTTGAAATGAAGGAAAGAAAGCAGGTCCAGATGGTATCCCAGAAGAAGTGAAACAAGTCAAACGAATCGCTACACAGATTATTTAGTAAAGTCTGGGAGACAAAAATACCAGCAGACTGGAGAGATTATTTGCCCCAAAAAAGGTGAACTACAGGAGTGTGAGAACTATAGAGGAATTAGTTGCTATCAGTTCCTGGAAAAATATTAAGTAGGATTATTTTTAGAAAGACTAAAAGATGCTACTGATAAAAGATAATAGATAAACAGATCCTGTACTGACCAAAAAGCCTCATTACGTATAATAAAATAGCAAAGCTTTGAATTGAATTCACATTATATTTGATTCATAGACTGTGGAAAAGCTTTTGACAGCATTGATAGGTAATCTCTTTTGAACTTACTAGGCATTATAGAATCCCTCAGAAAATGAATAACTTAATAAAGGTAACATATAAGGACATGAAATGTCCAGTTCTTAATGAAGGAAAGCTAACATAAATTTAAAATACAAACAGGTGTGCGACTAGAATGTCTTTTGTTTTACCTTTACTACAAATAGACTGGATTATGAAGACAGCAATTGCTAACACTAGGAATGGAATTCAGTGGACCCCTACAAAAAAGCCTGACGATCTGGATTTCGCTGAGGATATTTCTTTCCTGTCCTATTCACGGAATCAGATTCAGGATCAATTCAATATACTTGATGCGACATCACAAAAGCTAGGTGTGAAAATCCATAAGGGAAAGACAAAGACAATGAGAATAAATGAGGTTAATAGTATTGTAAGTAAAGTAAAGATCCCTTTACACGCTCTTAGGCGCATCGGGCATATGGGAAGAGCACCCATATTTTGCAGACCAATCGGCACTCTGTGGGTAATGTGGTCAGCATTACACCGGCCGTCTTTACTTTCCCAGGACAGCCCATCCTGGTACCCATTTAAGGCTGGGTCGACCTGCGACGTCCCCATACCACGATAAAAATCCACGCAGCCCACGC